CTCCACCCCAGTAGGACGGCTACCCCATGGGTAAAAAACAACTGGGCCAGAGAAGTTGGCATGTGATCAACCACTGTTTACCCACACTCCCAAACAAGACTCAAGTCAGTGGCATCAAAGAAGCGACTTGGAGTCTGGTAGACTCGCACTTTAAGCTGCTGTGAAGAGGAAGTCATCCTGCGCTGGGGAGCCAAACCTGGAACGGAAGCCTAGTATCACACTATGTGTCCCAAGATTCGCCAGAAGCAAAGCTGGGATGCCCACCGAAGACAGACGTTTAGTCCAGCCAAGCCTGCTTAATCTTGGCTGGTTTCATACAGAATTGTAATCACTGCCAGGGAGAGGAGCCAAGCACCATGCCCTTTGAAGCCTCTGGGGCTGGGGCTCCTCTGGTGGAGAGGTCTCTGCAGCTGCCTTTGTGCCTGCTTGGATGCTCCCCTGAAGGTCATTAGCACCAAGGTCATTAGCTACTCTGTGTCTCTGGGAGGCCAGGGATGTTTGCTGGTTATTGGATGATATTTCTTCTCGGGGTCCTCTGGGAGCCTAAATGACTTAGAAGTCGGCAAGTCTGCATTGCCCCACCATTGATGTCAGCTGCTCCAGGTAGCCCTTGCTCAGCAGGTGTTCCTCCACTTTAACAAGCAGTCTCTGCTCTTCTAGAAAAGACGGTGGTGGATTTGAAGGGGACCTGGGTCTTTGGCCAATGTATTTGAGAGTCACTGAGTAGCCCCAACAGCATCCTTATGAATTTAAGGTTTCAGTTGTGCCTGCAGGCAGGTGACAGCCACAAGCTCTAAGTGGCACCTTGGCCACTGAGCTGCCCATTCTGATGCCCACCTGCTCTGTTCATGACCTCTCAATGCTGACCACAAGCCCCCATCTCACCACCTAGCTGAGGCTGGCTTCCAGTTCCCCATCTGTATGCCTCCATCTCCTAAGGACAAGGATTAAGTGTGTATGCCGCCACTCCTGGCTTTCTCCATTTACTCTCTCCACCACCCTGCCCTCTACCCCGGTCCAAGCAATAGTACTATCAAGCCAAGATCGTTACTAGTCTCCGAGGAGTTCCTAACTGCCGGCAAGCCGGAATTCCCCTGTGTTGGTTGGTGTTGATTATCAGCCCGATAGACGCTAGTATCACCTGGGAAGTAGGCCTCTGGACAGACCTGTGTGTTTAGGGGTATCTTGATCGTGTAAGTTATGTGAGAAGATAACTGCCCTGTGGTAGATGGCCCTGGGTTCTAGCTGTGATCCTGGACTGTATAAACGGGGAAAACATTTTGAGCAGCAGCAGGCTTCACGGCTCTCCACTTCCTAGCTACAGATGTGAGGGACCAGTTTTAAGCTCTTACAGCCTTGTCCTGGGAGCCTCCCTCCATAGAGAAGTGGCTACGGGAAGGGAGGCTTGGTCCCCAGGGAGGAAGAGACGGAACTGAGGTCTTCAGGCTGTGCATTAAACCTTTGCTGAACAGCACTTCGGTAGCTAGTTTAACTTCCACAGTGACCAGAGGTGGACTTTTGCCTCAGGTAACAGAGGGAATCTGTAGATGTCTTGGAGGCAAAGTGGCCAGTGGAGGAGAGAAGAGGGTTGATAGGCAAGGCCAAGTCCAACCTGGATTGACCCCCACCTTACAGAAGCTTCTAAACTTATCACCAATTTCCTCATCTTTAAAATGACAGAAAAACCTAAACTGCTGGGTGGAGTGGCTTATGTCTGTAAGCCCAGCACTCAGGAGGCTGAGGCAGGAGGATGGGCACAAGTTTAAGCCTAGACTTGCCACATAGTAAGACTGTCATGGACTAGGTGTCTCCTGAACCCTTTCTAGAAAATGGGCAGTGAGTGCCGAGTCTGTCATAGAAAAGGGGTCTTAGATTCAAACAAACTCTCAAACTGTATATGTGTCTGCTGGAGAGAAGCCCAGCCCCACCCCTGGGAAGAGACCGCGACTAAAGCCATCTCAGAGGCTGGAGAGGAGCAGGTAGGGGTTGTGCAGGATCCTGTAGGGCTCTGAAGCCATCATACGTGGTTCTAACCTGGATGCCCCCCAGGACACGTGTTCAGCACTCACTCAACATTAGCTAAGGTTTTGGTTTTGGTTTTGGCAGGGTCTCGTGTACCTTTGGCCAAATCCTGATCCTCCTAATCTGTCTCTTAACTGCTTGGATTGCAGGTGTGTAACACCATGTTAACTCTAAAATTCTCTCTCTCTCTCTCTCTCTCTCTCTCTCTCTCTCTCTCTGTGTGTGTTTGTGTGTGTATGCGTGTGTGTATGTGTCGCATGTGTGCCGTGGAGGTCAGGCAACAGATTTTTGGCGTCAGCTCTCTTCTTCCACCATGGGACCCGGGGATCAAATCCAGGCCAGCGAGCTTACCCAGCAAGCACTTTTACCTGCTGAGCCATCTCTCCAGCCCCGAACTTCTAATAACCGGGCCAGCTTCAGACATGTGAGGTCACAGACACCGCTGAAATGAAAGAGGAGCCCCCGAGACCTGCCCTCTCTCATTGGCCATGGGATGGCACAGCAGCTGGCACACAGCAGGAGCTCCATTATTAGTGTTAGCGGAATGAATGTACAGTTGGCGGGAAGATGACCGGCAGAAGGGGTCGTGTAGATCGGGTGATTACAAGGCATGAGCTGGACAGAGAACTGTATAAGGTGGAAAGGCGTGATATACTTCAGAGAGATGCGTTCCTCATCTCGAGCATGTGCTCTGCTCCAGACACTGCCCCTGGTGTGCAGATAGCACGGAGAACAGAGGAGACAAGGTCCCTGCTCTCAAGGGACTGGTGTTTCCTCATGGGGAAGCGGATCATAAATAGATATAATCACACAGTGTGACATAAGAGGTGCTGGGAAGAAAAACAAAGTGGGCCAGGGAAGATGGCTCAGCTGGTGTCGGAGCATGAGGATCTGAGTTTGGATCTCCACAGCCCATGTAAAAAGACGGCTGTGGTGCGTGCTTGCTATCCTAGTGCTGGAAGTGGGGGGACAGGAAGAGCCCTGGTGCTTACTGGCCAGACAGTCTAGACCAACTGGCAAGTTTCAGGTTCAGCAAGAGACCCTGTTTAAAAAAATAAAGTGGAGAGAAATTGAGAAAGACACCCAGTGCTGACTTCTGACCTACACACACACACACACACACACACACACACACACACACACGGGAGGCGGGGGGAGAAGAAAGGAAAGGAGAGGAAAGGATAACAAAACGGGCTAAATGGATGGTGGGGCCATGGAGATGCTATTACAGATAGTTAAAAGCCTCTAAGAAAATAGTATTCCAGCCTGGTGTGGTGGTACCTACCCATAATCCAAGGAGTTGGGAGGCTGAGGTTAGGGCATTCAGAGTCCTAGCCCTGCCAGGGAGACAAAGTGAGATCCTAGCTTAGAAAAAAAAAAGATAACACTGGGGCTGGGGGTGTAGCTCAATGGTGGAGCACTTGTCTGGCATGAGCGAGGCCCTGGGCTCAAGCCCTGACACCCCAAAATAAAAAATGATGGCATTTGAGCAGAGACATAAAGGAAGCCATGCGGATATCTGAGGCAGGAGATTTCCTCCCCATTCGAACAGTTGAAAGGAGTGCGAAGGCATTTCATCCGGTACCCGGGCCTCAATTTCAATCGACTGAAACAAAATAAAGGCTCTTTGAGGTGCAGACCTGAAAGCGGACCAGAAATACACTCCACATGAAAGGCAAACCTTTGCTTAATCTGTTTTCACTGCTATTGAAATCTTAAGTGCCTCCTTTATGGCAGATGGCTCAAAACCTGCCGGGGGAAGAAATGCTTCAGAAATACAACTCCAAATGAAAAACAAAACAACACGGAAGACAGCCGTGATAATGGCCTCGCGTGAAATGACTGGAAGTTGTGAGCGCTCCGCTTGATGAGATTAAACAGTTGGAGGCAAATGATGCAGAGCCCTGTGGAGGAAAATATTCAGATAAATCATTGCAAGATCCCTAGTGGAAGCACAACCCACTTGGAGATGTTCTTTTTGGGGAAACAGTCTGCTCATTCCGGAAACATTAGCTGGGCACAGTAGTGAATGCCTGTGGTAAGAGCACCTGCGATGCTGAGGCAGGAGGATGATGAGTTTCAGGTCAGTCTGGACTCTGTGGCAAGGCACTCTCTCAGAAAAGGAGCTATCATTGAGCAGCCAAGTGTCTGCAATGTTCGTGTTTGCTGACTTGGAAAATGAACTAGGGGATGAGGGTGAGGCTCAGTCAGCAGAGAGCAGCCTAGCATCAGTGCACCCCCGTTCCATCCTCAGCACTGGGCGTGGTAGTGTGTGCCTGCACTTGCAGTGCTGGGGAGGTCAGAGCTAAGGGAATCAGAAGTTCGAGGTCATCCTCTGCTACACAGTGGGTTGGGGCTCTGTCTGTGCATGTAGCCTGGACTACCTGAGATCCTAGCTCAAAAAGATGAAAAAAGGAAAGAGGACTGGAACTCATATCTCCTCTTACGAGGTTTCAGTCTGGTCCCAGGCTTATCCTTTGATTTGGTATTTTATTCTTTAATCTCATCCTTTACTGTTCATCTTTTATTTCCAGACCCATCCCTCTTATCCCATAGGCATGATCCTCAGGCTCTCTGTCATTCTGTCTGTGCTTACAGATGCATTTACATTTTAACCACACATAGCCACCTAGCCAAACAACTTAACTATTGCCTCATGTGTGCTTAGCGAACACATCTGACACTTGGCTGTATCAGCCGCTCTCTGTCTTTGAGGCACATTGATGTTGACTGGTACGGATCCAGTCCTTTAGACAGTGACACTGAGTTCTTCAGTCACGCACATTATGTTTTATTGACTAATTCTCTGCTGAAGAACATAGACGCTGCATCCAAGTGTGCTATAGAACTGCTGGGACTTACTTCTGTGAGTTCAGGCCAGACGTTTCCCTGGGTTGGAACACAGCTGTGATCTGTGATCTAAAGTGGTCTGTGCCACTAGGCAGCCTGTCACGACAGCTTTCCAAACGGACTGGACCAGTTCTCGCCCTGCACAGCAGGGCCTTGTTTCAGTTGGTTTTCTCCTGGTGACGGGAACAGCTTGGTCAAGGAAAGGTTTGTTTAGGTTCATGGTTTCGGAGGGATTGCTGCTTGTCTCAGTAGGGCAGCCACAACAGCAGATGTGGTTTGTTCTGTGGCGACAGGAGCATAGTGTGGATCAGGAAGCTGAGAATGGGCTGCACAGCAAGGCCAGTGTCTCAGTTAGGGTCACTGTTGCTGTGACCAAACACCACAAGCAAAAGTACCTTTAAAGGGGAAGGGTTGACTTGGCTTACTCTTCCACACCACTGTTCGTCATCAAAGGGAGTTAAAAAGGAATACAAGCAGGACAGGAACCTGCCTCCAGGTTGATGCAGAGACCATGGAGGAGCTCTGCTTACTGACTTGCTCTCCAGGGAGGCTGATTTCTTATAGAGCCCAAGACCACCAGCCAAGGAGTGGCCTGTCCCACAATGGGACTGGGCCCTCCACCATCCATCGTTAATTAAGAAAATGGCCTAACGGCTTGCCTGCAGGATAATATTAAAAAGGCATTCTTCTCAATTAAAATTCCCTCTTCTCAGATGACGATAGCTTGTGTCAAGCTGACATAAAACTAGCCAGCACAGCCAGTCTATGACCCTTAAAGGCCCATCTCCAGTGCCACCTCCACCAGCCAGACCCTACCTCCTAAAGGTCCCACAGCCTCCCAAAACAGTGCCACTAGCTTGTGTTCTTACATATGGCAGGAGGGAGGGCTTTCACACTCACATTGAAAACTCTACCCCAGTGCACAGTCACTGCACAATGCAAAATGCATTCTGCTCAGTTTTTAAAACTCCCCATGGTCCTAAAGTTTCCAGCACCATTCAAGAGCTCCCAGACTCTTTTGAGAGCTACAGCAAACTTTTAGCTGTGAGGCGCTGTAAAAATTTAAAACTTTCCCAACGTACAATGGTAGAGTAAACATTTCCACTCCAATAGTGAGGAATGGGGAACAACTCATGTAGCCAAAGATAGTCATGAACTCCTCATCTTTCTGCTTCATCTTTCAAGTGCTGGGTAAGGTGTGGGCCACAACATCTAGCTGCAGTAAATTTTGGAAAATTATTTGGGGGGGGGGTGTGTTTTTGAGACAGGGTCTCACTATGTAGCCCTGATGACCTGAAACTCACTATAAAAACCAGGCTGGCCTCAAATTCACGGAGATCCGCCTGCCTCGCCTGCCTCTGCCTCCTGAGCAGTAGACTTAAAAGCATATATCACTATACCTACCTCCACTATAGGCTTTTTAAAAAAAATATTTATTTAGTTAGTTAGTTAGTTTGTGTATATGAGCGCTCTGTAGACTGACTTTACGACAGAAGAGGGCATCAGATCCCACTAGAGATGGTTGTGAGCCCCCATATGGTTACCGGGAATGAACGCAGAATGTCTGTAAGAGGAGACAGTGCTCTTAACTGCTGGGCCATCTCTCCAGCCTTGTAGGTGTTTGATAGAATGTATCAGGTAAGAAAGCTACTTTAACCACAACTTGATGCTTTTCTGTATCTTTTTCTCTAATGAATTCTGGTAGCTTTATCTGATTCTAAATAAACCCTACTGTGATTTTTAATTGTGATTTTCCCATTTGTAGTTATAGGCTGATTTATAAGTCTTCCCGTACTGAACCTATTTAGCTATAATCTGGTTTAACTAGATTTAATAATTAATTTGGAGACTGTCTTCTTTATTCTCTGCAAAAACTTTGAAGAAATAGAAATAAGCTATTCTATAGAAGTTTGGGAGAATTTGCCTGCAAAAAATTTCCTTGGCCTGGTAACATTTTGATTAGGGATGAGGATGGTCACTGTGTTTGAATAGAAATAATAGCTGGACTTTAATAGGCACTCAGTAATTAAATTATTGAAGGAACGAAGCAAAAAATGTTTTATTCCATTTTTTGCCTTGTACTAACTTTGGCATTTCATAATTTCCCCCCCAAAGAATATATTCATTGTTTTAGATTCTCACAAAACCACAGTCAGGGTACCTTCCCTTCAGAGCTATAGCTACAGCCTTGCTCCTCACAGTCAGGGTACCTTCCCTTCAGAGCTGTAATACAATGTAGACACATCCTGTCTCAAAAAACAAACAAACAAAAAGAATCGTGGAATATATAGTTAACAAAGAAGTGAAATATTGAAACAAAAAATCAAATTATTAAAAAAGAAAAATCACAGCAGATACTAGATGATGGAAAAATATTCTGTTCCAGAATTGGCAGAATTAATATTGAAATATCTATAACCAAAACTAATACACAGAATTAATGCAATATGTATCAAAATTCCCATGTCATAGCTCCCAGGTTTAGAAAAATTAAAGTAGGAATTCAAATGGATTCACAAAATACCACAAATAGCCAGAGCAGTCCTAAGGAGAAAGATCAATGCTGGGGGGTGATTATACCACAGAGCTGCAGTGATAAAGACAGACTGGCATAAAAATAAAAGGAAGAGTGGGGAGGTGGTAGCTCACGTCTTTGATCCCAGCACTCAGGAAGCAGAGGCAGGCAGATCTCTGAGTTCAAGGCCAGCCTGGTCTACAAAGCAAGTTCCAGTACAGGCAGAGCTACACAGAGAAACCCTGTCTTGGGAGGGGAAAAAAGAAAAGAAGACCAATGGAACAGAATAGAGGTCATAGAAATAAAATGGGAAATTCCCACCTAATTCATGACAAAGTAGGCAAGAACATACTTTGAAAAGGATGGCCTCTCAACAGATGATGCAGACAAAATGGACTTTGCCTGCAGGAGAATAGAATTAGATTCTTTTACCTTGTACAAAAATCAGTTCAAAATAGATCAAAGACCTTAACTTAAAACTAGAAACACTGAAACTTCTGGTAGTAAACACAATAGAGTACCCTTCAGGATATTGGGGTATGCTAGAACCATTTATTTGTTATTTGTTTTTTGAGAGAAGGTTTCTCTGTGTAGCCCTGGATGTCCTAGAACTCTCTCTGGAGACCAGGCTGGCCTTGAACTCAGAAAGATTCACCTGCCTCTCCCTCCCAAGTTCTGGTATAAATACATCACCATGGCAAGAACTTTTTAAATAGAATAACAACAGCAAACGAGTTTGAATGTTTCTGTACAGACAAGGACACAATCAGCAGAGTTAACGGACAGCCCACAGAGTGGGAAAAAATCTTAACTAGCTGCACATCAGAGAGGGCTAATGTGTAGAATTTATAAAGAATGCAGAAATTAACTATTACGGGAATAAAACTACCAATCAACGCATGGACAAATGAACTGAAGGAGGGCAAATGGCCAATATTTTAAAAAAGTATTCAATACTGGATGGTTGGTGTGTGCTCATGTCTTTAATCCCAGCACTAGGCAGATCTCAGAGTTCAAGGCCAGCCTGGTCTACAGAGTGAATTCTAGGACAGACACAGCTACACAGAAAAGCCGTGTCTCAAAAAAAAAGAAAGAAAAAAAAAAAGAGGCCGGGCGATGGTGGCGCACGCCTTTAATCCCAGCACTCGGGAGGCAGAGGCAGGCGAATCTCTGTGAGTTCGAGACCAGCCTGGTATACAGAGCTAGTTCCAGGACAGGCTCCAAAGCCACAGAGAAACCCTGTCTCGAAAAACCAAAAAAAAAAAAAAAAAGAAAGAGAGAAAGAAAGAAATGTGTTTAATATCCCTAACCCCCAGGAAAACGCAAGTTAAAACTTGCCATGTGAGATGCCACCTTACTCCATCAGCATGGCTGTCATCAATAAATCTGATGACAAATGTTGGACAAGATGTGGAAAGGATTGGAACCAATTTAGTTGTCCATCAGAGATGAACAGATAATGGGAATTTTGTACATATATAAAATGGGACACTTTTAGCTCTAAAGAAAATGAAGTAGAAAACTTGGCAGGAAAATGGATGGACTTGAACGTAAGGTATTAAGCAAGATCACACAGCCTCAGAAATAAACCACATGTTCTCTCTCATATGTGGCATCTAGCCAATAGTATATGCATATGTGTAAGCAAATGCACATGTGGGTGCAGAACAACATGGGGAAAGGGGAATGAGAGAGGGTGACTACCAGGGGACTGAGGAAGGTCGGAATGCAGGTAACGGACAGGGGTTAGGAAGGAGGAGAAAAGGAACTGTTCTTCTAGTTCTAACTCATAGATTTTTTTTTTTGTTTTGGTGTTAGTGGAGGATATTTGACTCCAAATGTGTAAGCGGTAAGGTGAAGTTCCACATCTGCTCTGGATGTCTATCCTAACTGTATAGATGCTCACTGAGTTGTGTAGACTGAGGGTCTGGTTAATTTTGGTATGTAACGTTTTTATTTATTTGCAAAGGTTTTTATAATAAAGTTTATAAACATAATTTTAAAAAGGATTATAGGAAATCCCTCCTCTGCTTGTGTTGTAGGAACAGAACAAGCCTTGATGAGTACACATCTGTTTTCAATGTGGCTTACTGAATACTTTAAACCCACTGCAGAGGGAAAAAGGACTCCTTTCAAAATACGGCTATTGGCAATGGACCTAGTTGTGCCGCAGCTGTGTTGGAGACATGCAATGGGATTAGGGCTGTTTTGGTGTGGAAGTTGATACTGTCAACTGAGGGCTGTGATGTCATTCAGTGGTAGGGCATTTGTCTGTATGCAAGAGGCCCTGCTTCAATTCCTTGCACTGTAAGTCAATCAACAAAATAAAAGTCACTGACCTAGTTAGTGTTACTATTGCTCCATGAAATACCATGATCAGAAACAACTTGGGGAGGAAAGGGTTTATTTCCCTCACAGTTCTCTATACCAGTTCATTATGAGAAGCAGTGAAGGCAGGAATCTGGAGGCAGAACCCGAGGCAGGGGGCATGGAGGGGTGCTACTTATTAGCTTGTTCGTCACGGCTTGCTCGGCCTTCCTTATAGAACTCAGGACTACCAGCCCAGGGGTAGTACCATGCACAGTGGGCTTGGCCTCCCCCATCCATCACTAATTAAGAAAATACCCTACAGGTTTGCCTGAAGCCCTTTTAAAAAAAATGTTTATTTTTACATGTGTTGCTGTTTTGCCTGCATGAATGTCTGTGTGACGATGCCAGATCCCCTGGAACTGGAGCTACAGACAGCTGTGAGCCGCCACGGGAGTGCTAGGGGTTGGACTCAGGTCCTTTGGAACTGCTAAGCCATCTATCTCTCCAGGCCCTGCAGCACAGTCTTATGGAGGCGTTTTCTTGATTGAGGTTTCCTCCCCTCAGATGACTTTAGCTGTGTCAAGCTGATGGCAAACTAGCCAGGACAGTCACTGTTGTCTTGTTCTAAGAAATTGCCAGTCACCCCAAGTATCAGCAACTACCACCCTGGTCAGTCAATCAGCAACCATCAACACCAGGGCAAAACCCTATGCCAGCAAAAAGATATACTTTGGGCTGAAAGGTAGAGCTTGGGGTGTGTGCATGCTGCTCCCTGTTCCATCCCCAACAACCCCTTCATCAGACAGATATATCACTGAAGGCTCAGATGATAAAAGGGATTTTAAATAATCTCTCTCTCTGAGTGTATTTGTCTGTGAACTCCTGCGCATGTCTGTGGTGTTGGACATCAAATTAGAGGTAAAATTCACAGGATCTGATGACTGGTTGAAGGCTGAAAAGAGAAATGTTGAAGAGAATGGTGGCCGGAGGCAACATCTCAGAGCTGAAAGGAAGAAACAGCCTTGAGGGGAAAACCACCACTTGGGTTTGGGGTGAGATGAACATGAAGGGCCTGTGCACTGTGTCAGCAGAGACACTGACTCAAGCATTCTGAATGTGCGCATGCCT